TGAGGAAGATTGATTTACCACATTAAACGAGCCTCCATGTGCTCGATGAGAATGTCACAAGACAAACGGCTCCTGCCGCATGCCTCCAGCCCACAGCCCCCCGTTTCCATTACATTTGGGCCAGAGTCATGGTGGATGAGTTTGGGTGTAGTTCATTTTCTGCCTTACACGATAAACTTGTCAGCCTTTGACCGATCAGCTACTTGTATGCAGGAGTTCGTTTGCAAGGCCACCTGGCATCCCAGCTCTGCTGTCCTGCTCCCATTTCACCCTGTCTAATGAGCCAGGACCTGGTTACTGTTGGTTGGCGCTGAGCTCTGGGGCCCTGCACAACCCGCATGCTCAGCCCCTCCTCAGGGTCCCATCTCTCCTGCCTGGAGGCAGCTACAGCACTGATGCCTGGGGAGATGTCCTTGTCTGTTGCTTCAAGTTGTCCATCTGGGAAGGAGTGTGCAAAGCCTCCACTCTCCTGCGCAGATGTGTTAGGCTTACTCCCCAGCATCCTGGATGGACAGGCCTGCCTTGAGTTTCCTGGGGGAGCTATAGCCTGCCCGCTCCACTTTGGGAGCTATTCTAAGGAAATAGCTTCGAGGCTATTCTAAGGAATTTGGCTTTGGGGTATTTCCAAGGAAATTTTAGTGTAGGCAGATACCCAGCCTGGGGTCTCAGAGCTCACTGAGACATGACCAACAGGGCCAAGGTATGCAGCATTGGGGATTCCCATGGCCCTTTAACTGACCTCCAGACCCACATCCTTCCCAAGCTGCTGGGCATCCCCTAGACTCTGATCTGACCATATCAACCCCAGCCCAAGATCCTTTGGTGGTTCCTTGTTGTTGCTAGATGAAACCCACATTCCGGATCCTGCCATTCACAGCCCTTGATGATCTGTTCCCAGCCTGGGCGTTGTGGTTGCACGCCTGAGATCAGGTCTATTTCCCTCCATTTACTGGGTGACCTTAGACAAGACATTTAGCTTCTCTGTGAATGGGGATGATAAAAATGCCTATCTCATGTTCGTCAATATGAGGGCTTCAATAGATGCCTGGCACATAGTAGGTGCTCAACAAAGGTTAGCTAATAGCATCACTTCACTGCATTTTTTCAGCCTCACCTAAATCTTGCATGCCTTTACCTATAATCTGGGGATGAACTGCAGCCTGGGGTGGTCTGCTCACTCAAAAGCTCCACCCATAAGCCTGGGTGTTTATACCCCAGCGCTTAGAACCTTTTCCAGCACTGTTATCTCCCTCCTGACATGTTTTTCCCTTCCTCTCTGCCTGTTTAAATCTGATCCCAGCCTGGCCAAGGCTTCTCCATTCTCTGAAGTCACCAGCCAGCCTGGGAGCCAAAAGGAACCCCCAGAATAGCACACAGGGCAGGGCCGGGCACCAGGGCCATTGGCAGGGACTCCAATTGGAGCAGAGAAGGGCAGGCCTGGGAGCCTTGCAAAGGGTGAGGAATCCCTTCCAAATCTCCATCCCCTCCCAATCTCTCACCATTCTCCCATCCCACAGGCTCTATGCCCTGAGGGTAGTGGTTTTCTCACCCTCAAGAGGCCATTGACCTTTCCTGTTAGCCAGATGGACTCCTCCAGGCTCCCACTCTGCACTGTGTACACAGATCTCAGCCTCACCTGTCTATATACACTCTCAAGTCCACTGTCAGCCATGGACATTTTCCTGTGCCCACCTGGACTAGGGACCCAGGCCTCACCCTCTACAAGCTCACAGACATGGGAGAGTGGACTAGATCAGGGTTTCTGGAGCTGGACTGGCAGTGACTGCTTAAAGTATAGGGAGGTCTGAGGTCAGCAGCAGGGCCTTTTGCTGTAGGGTCATGCACAGTGCAATAGGAGACAACAGGTATAGAGGGGACCAGTCCAGCCTTGAACCCAGGCACCATATGAGGTCAGCCTGGTGGACAGAGCAGAGGTTCCTTGTATGCCCCAAGCAAGCAGCTGAGCTAGCATGCTCTGGGTATGAGGAGTTCTGGAGTGCAGGAACTCTGTCTGGGCCACACCCCCCATGCCAGGCACAGTACCAGCCCTGTTAGAGGATCGGGGAGCTTGGGAGGTGTTTATGAGTGGAGCTCTGATAGGCGGAGTAGGAGAGGAGCCCCCATACATCCTATGATGTAGAGATGAATGAGCCCAGGTGTCTAGGGAGTAGCAGGAGGTATGAGGTCCATGCAGGGATTCAGGGGAAGTGATCCCCAGAAGGGCAACATGATGAGCCATTGGGCCCAAAGGGCTATACTTAGATTCAACTTCGTGGGCAATAGAAGTCATTTCAGGTTGAAGAGGGTAACCCAGTGACAGCACCACACTGAGGAGTAGAGGGAAGGGCAATTCCCGAAGGCTTCAGCTGGTAAATCTTTAGATCCTCAGGACATGGCCTAAAGCCTTGAAGGAGGCCTAAAGCCTCCTCAGATTCCAGGAAATCCCAGGAGGCCATGTGGAAGATAATGAGTCATCCTGGCACCATTGGGATCAAGAGCAGTGCTGAAAGTGCAGTGTTCTCCAAGCCCTCATCTAGATAGGCAGTGGGGAGCAGATGACCCAAGGATGGGCTGGCTTGCTTGTCAACCTCCTTCCCAGAGTGGAAGACTCGCTGTGAGAGGGATTTGCAAGAAGTGGGAGGGAGGGGATGGGTGGGGACTGCCGACTCTCTTCACATGAGATTATATGTGGACACTTCTCATGAACTGGAGAAATCATGTGGGCAGAGCAGACAACACCCAAGTGGCCTTGACATCTGTGTGCCCAGCACAACGGCCCCACTCAAGTCTTACTCCACTGGGGTGGGGGAGAGTCACCACACACCCCAGTGAGGGTGCAGCCCAGAAAGGTTGGGGTGAGGCTAAGAGCAAGGAGGAAGAGACAGAACCTTATCGAGGGCCACCCCAGGTCCCTAGCTGGATAGAAGGAAGGACAAACTACCGTTGGCAGCATCAAGCTATATATAGACTCAGCCTCCTATTGACTGGGGTAGGTGCTGTTGGCCTGGCTCCAACCCACAGGCAGGACCTGGCTGGTGGACAGAGGCTATGGGGAGATCCTGAACCTAAGCCACACCTGCTCCCACACATTCCCTGGACTTCAGAAAAGCAGTTTCCAGATGGCTGTGAGAGATGATGGGCATAATTTTTGGCTTGAGGCTCTGGAAGAAGAGAAGCTTCCAGAGCCAAGGGCTCTGAAAGAGAGAATTCTGACCTATCAGTAAATGGATCCCAATAAGGAGGGGAAGGGCAGGAGCAGAGAGGTATGTGTGGCTGGACAGGCAGAGGGCTGTGTGCTTGGACTCCAGCTGACTACAGGAAATAGGAGAGCCAGCACTCAGGACCAGGGCCTGCCCAAGTGCCTGCCTTAATGGGACAAGAGGGAGCAGGGTGGGGGTGGTCCTGATTGTCATCTTGGAGGGCTCCTTGGCCCCCAGAATGTTTCTCTCTGACAAATAGCTTCCTGGACAGGGACCTCGAATTTCAATACCCACAGGGATCAAGGGGGTTGAATGAATGAGAAAGGACTATGATAAACCAAGGGTGCAGCTTCTCAGCTCCAGCCAATTCTTGCAGTGTGAGAATCTGAACCCAACATCACCAGATGGTATAAGTTAGGATTAGATTTGGCCATGTGTGACAGAAAGCCCAAAATAATAGTGGCTTAAAGAAAACAGGTTTCTGTTTCTCTCTCTCTCTCTCTCTCTCTCTCTCTCTCTCTCTCTCTCGTGTACACCAGAAGTAAGCCATCCAAAGCTAATACATGGCGTCTAGGGTTCTTCCATCTCACTGCAAGGATGTGGCCCTGCATCCATATGGTCCAAATGGAGGCTAGAGGTCCAGTCATCACACTGGTGTTCCAAGCAGTGGATAGTGGAAGGTGGGAAGAGGGGCAAAGAGCATGTGCTAGTTATCTTTAAGGAGCTCTCTTAGAAGCTGTCACGTTGTGTTTCTAAATGCTGTTGGCAGTGGGCAATGTAGCTTGAGTTCTGGTTCTCCCTGTGCCAACCAAAAACCAGGCACTCTGTGACTAAAGGGAGAATGGATATTGCCATCTGCAGCTAGCAATCTCTGCCACATAGTGCCCCTTTGCCTCCAAATACCTTGCACCCCATCTTCCATGCATAGAATACTCTGGGGCTTGGAGGGAGGGGTAACTCTGCACTTCATCCTGTTACAGCACCCAGCCCAAAAGGCTGGATAGAGGAGGTGGTGGAGGTGGAGGAGGCTGCCTAGGGCAGCCCATCTGGCCGGGCCAGCTCTACTCCAAGAGAAACCCCATGCCCAATGTCCCCCATGGAGAAGCTGAGCTGCCTTGGTGATATGTCTCCTGCACAACTCAGTGGCTTTTAGTGACATGCCTGAAATGGCCCCAATGGGCTCACCTGCATATGGCTTTGGGGCAGCCTGTCCCTTCCATCTGCCCTCTGCATTGAAATAACTGCCGAGGTGGCAGGGGGCAGGGAGGGCAACACGTTGAATCCCTCCCTTCAGCTTTTTGTGTGAAACTGACTGATTTTTAAATTTCAGCAACTAATGTTCAAAAACTGTAGTTCAGGACAAATAAACATGCCTATGTGCCACATGTGGCTCTTAAGGGCCACAGTGGGGCGGGTGGGGGTGCGGCTGGATGGGGGAATTGGAGCTCCTCCCCTGGCAAAATCTGGCCAGTGGGTCTAACATCCATGGAGAAGGCCCTGCATGAGCCCCCTCATCCTAGAAGGCAGGGCCAGTGACCACCCATCCAGGGGCAGAACTGGCCACAGATGAAGAGTGAGTGGGACTCTCGCAGAGACCCTGAGAGTGAGCCGGCTGCTGGGATTCGCACAGAAGCTCAGGACAGTCTGGCTGACTTCACCGCCTACCCGCTGGGGTTCAAAGAGGGGTCGGGACTGGCTCAAGGGCTGGGTGTCTGCCTGTGATATGTGACACTCTGTGGAGGGGACCTCAAGCCTAGGGTTTGGGGGTAGGTGATAAGGCCTTGTTTGCCTGGCCCGCAGACTCCACCAACCGGGACGCACTGGACATGATTGAACGCTGCATCTGCCTGGTATGCCTGGATGCCCCGGGAGGCATGGAGCTCAGCGACACCAACAGGGCACTTCAGCTCCTTCACGGCGGAGGCTGTAGCAAGAATGGGGCGAACCGCTGGTATGACAAGTCCCTGCAGGTAAGCCTCCCCAGTGGCGTGGCCAGGGGCCCGAGCCAGCACATGCTCACATCCAGCAGACTGGCTCACTGGCCTGTGCTACCCAGGATGCTGCATCGGGGGCCAAGGGAGCTGAAGGAACTGGAAATGTGCTGCTGGTGTCAGCCCCTGGACTGGCCAGGATGCTTCTCTGGAGCAAGTGCCCGAACCCAACTCAAACCTCTGGGTCAGACCTGGGGCTCATTCCCTATCTCCCTTCACGCACTATAAGGTGAGGGACATCACTTTCATAATGACCATATTAAATAGCCAGCAATCTCTATGCTTTGGGCTAACATTGCTCACACTGAGAAGCATTTCTAGGCAACATCTCATTTTCCGCTTTCTCTGGCCCCTACGTTCTGGTTATCCTTTTTTATTGGTTTGCATATTGATTCTGCTATTCCTGATGAGTTCTCTTGCTGCTGTGCTGGCTGTCTCAGCCTCCACCAGTGGTGCTAATGGCTTGTAATCTTTCATGGAGCAGCTGTGGGAGAGATGATATAATGGATGTACAGGACCGGAAACATAGCAAGCCTTGGGAGTGGTTTTTAAAAGGCACCGTTTTCCTTCCTTTCTTTTAGTGACAGGGACAGAAAATCACTAATGCATGAGTGGGCACAGCCTTCCCCTCCTGCCTCACATGGGTGACTGTGCCCACCTCTGGGCTCTTTCCACGGGCAGGACAGATGATCAGGTGAGCTGGAGGAGCCAAAGAGGCTCCCAGGGACGTGAATTGAAAGGATCAAGAGCTGGTCTCAGGACAGGAAAGCAGGGGATGTTGGGGAAAAGAGAAAAGAATCTGCAAGGGTTGAGTTTTGAGAAAGATGACGTGGGAAGATTGAAGAATGGGAGGAAAGCTTCGGGTCACCAGCACGTGATGTGAGAGACTGGGCAAGACATGAGGAGAGTCAGCTCACGTGTGATTGTTACAGCATCCTGGAAGAGTATCAGTAAAAATGTCAATAGCTTGTTTGTTTGCTTGTTTGTTTATGGACGGTGGACCAGACTCTCTTGAGTGTGATGCTGTGCTGAGCCGCTATAGGCAGCCCCACTTTATCTGGGGTACGCTTTAACAATCAAATCTCAATCTCATTATTTTCTGCCAGCACTTCTGTACATGCTGAGTATGTTCCTTTTCTAAGTCGGCTAAGTACAGCCTTGGTAAAATCTTTACAGTGCCTGTGGACCTTTCCTATACCTTCTTTCTAATCCTCATAGCAATCCTGTGAACTGGGCCTTATTGCATCCATTTTAAAGGCGAGCAAACTGAAGCCAGAGAGCTGAAATGTCTGGTTAAAGGTCTCCCAGCTGGCAGGTGGCAATGGCAGAGCTGGAATCTGGGTCCCTGACTCGAAGCCCAGGCAGCAGGGAGCAGAGCATCCTCATAACACCCTTCCTTCACTCCCACCAAGAGACAATTTGTTTCTCCCTAGGAATCTGCACACCATCCGAATTGAATCATTATCTTTCAGTCACTCATTCAACAAAATCACTGAGCACCTACTATGGGGTAGACACTGGTTTAGATCCTGGGAATAAAATCCAAGGTAGCCTGACACACAGGGTGGACTCAGATACATAACCACACAAAGCTGTACAGGTTTGTGGCCCCAGTGCCCACTGTGATGGGGAAACAGGGCTTACCAGAAGCTGAAGGAACTTGCCCAGGACTTGAGCAAAGTATGCACAGCTTCCGTGTGAGGTCTCAGGAATCACTGGGCTACCTCAGCCAGGGAACCTTGGGCTCCACCCTCACTGCCCAGAGCATTTCTGGAAAGGAGGTCACACGACAGAGCTGCCTTGAGGCCCCCATATTCTCAGGTCTTGGCAATTTCCAGAAGCATTCTTTTTGGGGAGATCATGTGCTTTGGTGTCCCTGGAGGAGAGGTCCCTGAGAGGTTGAGGATGCCTGGCCTGGAGCCAAGTGGCCAGTTTGAAATGCAGACGCTACCAGACGTGCCTCACCTCTTCTTCTTGCAGTTTGTGGTGAACCGAGACGGCACCTGTGGTGTGGTGTGCGAACACTCCCCTTTCGACGGCATCGTCCTGGTGCAGTGCACAGAGCATCTGCTCAAACACATGTGAGTCTGGGGGCGGGGCCCCTTTGCAACAGCCATAGAAGTCAAAGCCAGACTGCCAAGGGGCTGCCAAGCTAGGCCAAGAAAAATTTGGGTGTCTGTCGGGGGAGGGGGGGCCACATTTGTCCGGAAAGTGTCTTAGCAAAAGATGGGTTTGAAAACCAGCTTGACATCATACACTTTATCTGCCATGGACAGAGGGGGGCAGACTGGACAGCAGGTTTTGGGCGGTTAGAAAAAAGCTTGGCAAAGAATTCTCAGCCAAAAAGGAACACCTGCTTTGGCCCAGTGAAGCCCAGAGCAACATCTAGTGTGTTCAGAGTCAGGGCTGGGCTGGCTTGACCCAGCACAGAGGAGGGCAGGTCCCACCTCCTTCCATCCCCTTGGGCTGTGTCTCTCTCCCTAGCTTCCAAGCTGGCCAGACTGAGTGCTTCTCTATCCCTTAAACACACCGACCCCTTTCCTCTATTTGTGGTTTACCCATTCTCTCCTTCTAGAATCTTCTCTCTGAATCTAAGTTCTAAATCTCTACCATGATTTAAGAACTCTTTAGGATCCCTAAAAGCCCTCATGGACAAAACAACACAATTTGCTTCTTCAATTTCCTTCCAAGTGTTTCATAAATGCCAGTGGTGGAAAGCGGTGGAGTGGGAAAGCGTGAAAAGAAATACGGGGCTCTGGAGTCAGGCAGAACTGGCTGGAATCCTGGCTCTGCCCCATGCTCCTTTGAGTGGCTCCGCTGACCCTCAGTCTGTGTTTCCAGGGACAGCTCATACCCACTGAAACTCCAACAGCTAAGACGCATGCTGCCGGCAGCCCACAGCATGTGGCAGGGCCGCACGAGGTCACCTCTCTCTGTCTGCAGGGTGAAGAGCAGCCAGAAGCTGGTCCGAGCCGACTCCGTCAGCGAGCTCCCGGCCCCCAGGAGGCTGCGTTGGAAATGCTCCCCGGAAATTCAAGGCCTCCTAGCCTCCTCAGCAGAAAAACTTCAACGGTACAAAGTCCAAGTCTCTTTTAGGGGGATTGCTACCACCTCACCACAACCCCCTCTATCCAGGCTGGATATCCAGAGGCAGCCTGGAAGTTTCTAAAGACCCCAGCTCTTTGCCTCCCCTCGCCCACCTGCACTACTCCCTCCCACCCCCATCATGGAAATGTATTCAAACTAAAGGGGAGTTACAACTCTCTGGGAAATAACCTTGCTGGAGTATCCATCATTTCCATAAAATGCAAACATGGAGCTATTTTTTCGTGGGTTTCACCTGACTGAGCAGAGTCAAGACGGGGAAATCATCCCCCTCCTTTCGGGGGGAGTAGTAAACAACTGGTTTGCATAGGTCATTTGAATCCAAGCTATTTTGATTTGCTTGAATTTACACTGCAACTTGACAAGGGGGCCTTTTTTCCCAAGAGGAGGGAGGCAGTCAAGGCCCTAACGGGACCGTGCAGGAGGGCCCAGGATGGGTCTGGGCATCTCTGGGTGGGCCAGCACTAGAACGGTGGCAAGTTGTGGAGTGAGCTGTAGGCTGGCAACTAGATCTGGACCTTGGTTGTTCATTCCCTCATTCGGTAAGTGAGCATGATTCATTCATTCACTCATTCACTCATTCATTAAACATGTACAGAATTTTAAGTGTGCCAGGACTGTGGAAAGGCTGAGGACACCAAAATGAATATACCACGGAGCCTGCTGTCCATGCTTCAGTGGAGGAAGGAGACCCTCAGACCAAAACGTGTGACACAATAAAGTGCCAAAACCAGGGAAAGGCATACAGACCCGAACTCACAGAGGCTACAAGAGTGGAATTCTACCAGGACATTGTGGGAGGGCTTTGCAACGATGGGCCTTGAAGGATGGATAGGAGTTCATGGTGCAGGCAGGGGAGAAGAGGCAGAAAGGCAGCTTGTTCAAGCTTGTACAGGTTCGTAGAAGATCCAGGCTGGCCTGGAAACCAGCAACTGAGAGAATTGGCAGAACTGAGGCACTAAAGGGACGTTGAGGCCACATTGTGAATACATTGCTGTTCTTGCGTTATGGGACCTGGAAGCTGTCCTTCAGTGGTGAAGAGCCCCTGGAGGGTTTTGAGCAGGGGGGTTCAGGGGGCCAGTGAGGAGATTATGGGAAGCGCATGGGTGAGTGGGACAGATCATGGCCAGGCTTGAAGGGTAGAAAGGGCAAGGCCACTGCAGGCTGCTGTGGAGGATGACTGGCTGTGGCAGGAGAGTGGGAGAAGCCCCAGGTGTTCATCTACAAATGGTGCTGATATCACAACCTTACGGGGCTGTTCTTGGGATGAGCAGGCCTCTAGGAGAGTGAGTTGGTAGACTGGCAAGTCCTGGGTGGAGAAAACCCCCACTCATTTTCGGAGATCTGAATGGGGCCCCTGAAGTTTTCTTTTCAGAAGTGGGGAACCAGGAGAGGCCTGAAGCTGAGAAAGCAGGAGGAGCCTTGGGGGTCCTGGGCCACCTGTGGAAGGGAGCAGTGTCTGTGTGAGCAGGGCCTGGGCAAGAGGTTTCCAGGTGGCTGTGTGACCATGAACTCAGCCTGTCTAGAGAGAGTTGACTAACAGGTTGGACTGAGGGGTGGGCCTCCATGGGTCTCCAGAACCTGACATGGCCCCACTGAGAGCTGAGCTCCCATGAGGAAGGGGGAATAGCTCAAGGAAGGGCAGGCAGGCAGCATCTGCGACCTGAGGAAGTATGTGCGTGGAGGCTTGGGGTTGCCTGCCCAAGGCTCTGTGTTCACTTATGGCCAGTGGACAGATGGTGTGGACCCTGCCGGACCATGTTGCAATGGACAATCAGCCCAGACCCCAAACTCATGAAGGAAGAGACTGGTCAATAGGGGATGACAGGTACTCAAGGGTCTCAGTGTAGACTCAGGGAATCTACCTGTTACTCTGACAGTGACTCATGGGGAGTAAGGACCTGGGCATGCCATGAGAGGCTCAGTAATAGTTCCTGGGGTTTATAGTCAGCGGCCAAGCCCAGAAGAGCAGCCCTTGCTGGGGTGGCCATGACCAACAGGGAGGCCCCAGGTCTTCCTCTCATAACACAACAGGGAAGAGTCTCTGTGAAGAGACATGGCTTACAGCCATCTCAGAAATAGGCTTTTTCCTGGGCAAAGGTGGCATGCCCAGTCTGGCAGAATAGCCAGGATGCCAAAAGAGTCTGACGATGTGGGACACACCTTCCCAAACAGGTCAAATGAACGGCCTCCTTCAGGCCTGCTTCTGTGGGCAAGAGGCTTCTAGGATTTTGTTTGAGGACACTGCTCTCCCTGCCCATGCAAATGCCTCTCAGGCCCCTGTGCTCCCAGGCCCCTCCCCTACCACCAGAACAGGGCCACTGCCCTGTCTGGCCAAGCCTCACCTTCAGCTCAGGGATCCCTGGTCTGGCATGCCCTCTGCCACTTCTGTATGTCAAGGCCTGTCTCTGACACCCGATATGTTCCTGGTGGGCAAGGACTGTGTCCTCAACTTCCAGAGCACTAGGTTGTACACCAAGCCTGAGCAACTTGGTTAGACTTTGTGGTGTGTGCATTCCATTTTACATGTAATAGCACCTCTTCTTCTTCTGCCACAGAATAGTAAAGAATCTCGACTTTACTGTTTATAAGTTTGACATCTTCGGGAAAACATTCATTAAGAAGCAGAAATGCAGTCCTGATGCCTTCATTCAGGTGGCCCTCCAGCTGGCCTTCTACAGGTGAGCAAAGCCTGCTGGCGGAATGATGCTGCCCAGGCGGGCTGACTGACAAGCTGCCCTAGACTCTAGAGTCTAGAAGCATCCTAGAGGGAGGAATGACTTCCTGTGGGCCTAGGAGATGGGAGGACCAGAGCAGGCTGCATGAAAGAAGGTGCCACTTCATCAAAGTGTGAATCCAGTCTCAGAAAAGAGAAGGAAAGACATCAAGTCAGGAATTTGCCCGAGTGATGGCACAGGTGCACAGAGCTCAAAGCGCCAGAACACTGAGCTAACAACGCGGGTGATGGAGGCCGCTCCTACTCTTGCCCTCACCCAGCCTCTGGCTGTGCCCTGTTTCTTTATAAGGACATGGAACCAGCATACCCCCCACCCCCGCCCACTGTGGGTCAAGTCAAAGAATCTGAACTCATCTTTGATTTGTCCCTGTCTCTCATTCCCCACCCGTGACACCACCATGTCATCCTCCAGATGTCTCTCAGAACCTCTCCCCCCCACCCCCCATTTTCCCTCTCCATCACCATCGGCCCCTCCCCCGCCCCCATCATCTGGTGCTGCTTAACTGCAGCATGCTCCTCCAGGGTCTCTGCCTCCACTCCCATCTTTGCAAAACGTTGAAATATGCAAATCAGATCCTATCACTCACCACCTTGAACCCTCCCAATGGTTTTCCACCATGTTTAGAACAAAGTCCAGGCTTAGAAAGTCTCCCTGTGAACTGGCCTCTACTGGGGCCCTCCTCCCAAGCCCTTTGCTCTGGCTGTGCCTCCGCCCACCCACCCGTTGCCATCACCACTCTTCACATGCCACCTCCTCCCCTCTGCCGGGGTCTGCTCTGGTGTCAGCTCTCAGAGGCCTGCCCTGACCCCCTTATCTAAAGCAGCCACCTCAGGCCCTCGCCATCCAGCTCTCTAGCCTATCCCATTGTGTCCTCTTTTTCTTTCATAGCAGTTGTTTGTGTGAGCTACCTTGTTTGTTGATTTGTTGATTTTTGTTTTCTAGCCTGTCTCTCCCAAGCCTGACACTCTGGGTATCTCTCACACACCCGGCACAGAGTAGGCATCAGGGACTGAGTCACAGATGTGAGAATACACGACAGGAGTTTTATCTGGGGGGCGGCACAGTCAGGTCTGCAGCTTAGAGAAGTCCCTGTGGTGGTAGCCCTGTGTTGGCAGCAAAGTAGGGAGTAAGGGAGTAAGGGTTGAAGGCGGGGAGCCCAAGCAGTCTTTGATAGGAGGCTGAAACTAAAATGCAAAGTGGATCATCCTAAAGACAAGGCTGGCTCCTGCAGGCTCCAGTGCTCCTGGAGCAGCACTCATCAGCCGGCATAGGCGATAACTAGCACTACCCCACCAGGACCTGCCTGCATCTTGCCATATACGGGGGGGAGCATAAAGTGATCTTGCGATAAGGCTGGGGCAAGGGTTGACAGCACTCATGTGGACACAGCAACCCAGATCCCAGTTTCCCCTGGAGGGGTGGTAACTCTCAGGGAAGGGAAGTGGCTACGGCCATTCAGAGCATTGGGACTCCTTGGGGAAGGCTGATGTCACCCCACACGAGGTCTGTGCTCATCGTGGGGACACAAAGGCCTCACTGGCATTGAGCTGTGGCAGGTCCTGGTGTCTGGAACCACAGTCGCCATTCTGATACTGGCACATGGCTGAAATGGGCCATGAGGTCAAGGTTCTGCTGGAACCACAACCAGAGATGCCGGCAGGTGTTACTTCAGAGAGCCCTTCGGACCCAAATCTAGGAGGGGGCTAGTGGACCCTGTACAGAGCTCTGCCTCCTCCACCCTTAATGATCTTTGTTGCACTGGATGTGGCCAGCAGTGGATGTGGCCAAAGGCTCCTGTGAGTAGCCCAAAAAGGGCTTCTCTGCTTCTCATGGAGAACATTCTTCAAGAGTCTAAGCCATAACAAAAAAAATTTTTTTAATCTGCCCCTAGAGTCTACAGAAGCCTGGAAGCTGCCTAAATTGGGGTTGATCAGTGATTAGCCAGTGATGGCATCTACTTTTGTGCTCAGCATGGCGTTTGCCTCCTGGGGCCATAGAGATAGAAGAAATGAGCTCCTGCCAGAGTCCTTTCTCCTTGGGGAAATGAGGCATAAGTGTACAGGAAGTTGATTGACCTTCTCACCAAGTTACAGGACAAAGCACTGTGCTGAATCAGACTTGGCCTTTCTCCTCCTAGAGCTTACCCAGCATGGGAGGTACATGCCCTGACAAGGCCAAGATGCAGGACCATGACTTGTATGTGACTTTGGGCTGTCACTGCCCCTCTGTGATTCTGTGTCTTTCTCCTCCCCACCCCCAACACCAAAGACTTTACTGACTGGTGAGAAAGATGTGTGTCAGCCAGGTGTGCAAGCCTCGGAGTGCTCACGGCTCACATGCCTAATGAAAGGACTTTCCCTGGCTGGTGTGGGGAGTGGCTCCTGTCCCAGACGTCAGGGAGGAGAGGCACAGCCATGGTGCCCACGGGTGCTGCCCCTGGACAGGCGGGCCTGTGCTGCAGTTTCCACTCGTGACCACTGAAGCTCCCTCCCTGCCTCCATCCGTAGGTCACGCTTGAATTGTTCTAAATAAAACAGGATTCCCTCAAGGGTGTGAATGATTAATTGCACAATTATTCCATTCTGTTCTATTAATCAAACACTCATCAGATCTTGAAGAAAATTCTAGGTTCCCCACCAGACTGGGGTTTTTTGAAAAGTTACCAGTCACTTCTTTATTTTATAACCACACAGTGTCACCAAATGTATGAAAGTCATATTAGCGACTCCCCGACACTCCTCTTTGGGAAATCTCCTCCAGAATTCTATTAACATTAAAATGAAATACTATGCCAAGTAGAGTCAGGACTGTAAAAATAAAGCCTGCCGAGGCTATTTTTCTTTCAGCGTTTATGGTTTCCTGAGACTGCATCACCATTTGCCATTCATCTTGCATCTTATGCAGGCTCCACAGGAGACTCGTCCCCACCTATGAGAGCGCGTCCATTCGCCGATTCCAGGAGGGCCGCGTGGACAACATTCGATCAGCAACTCCAGAGGCGCTGAGTTTTGTGAGAGCCATCACTGACCACAAGGCTGCTGTGCCGGTAAGTCCTGCTCTGTCTAAAGAGTCTCCAGGAGGCCAGAGGGGCAGCAGTGGGCTGCCTGTTGGCTGGGCTCCGTGACAACCAGCTCTTTTAGCTTGCCACTGAGTAGCCCTTTAAAGCCCCATCTCTGGTCTGTCGACAGGCTTCAGAGAAGCTGCTGCTCCTGAAGGATGCCATCCGAGCCCAGACTGAGTACACAGTCATGGTGAGTGATGTGGCGCCCCCTCTCAGGTGAACTCATGACTGTGGGCTGTGCCCAGAGCGGGGCCTTCAAGAGTAGGGCCGTGGCACAGGACCTGGGTGAGAGCTGGGCCCAGTGGCTTGGCCAAGGCCATGCCTCTCAGAGCCTCCTTTTTCTTATTTTTAGATACTAGATAACATGGCACTCTTTTTTTTTTTTTTTAATGTTTATTTATTTTTTAGAGGGATGGAGCACAAGTGGGGGAGGGGGAGAGAGAGATGGAGACAGAGGATCTGAAGTGGGCTCTGTGCTGACAGCAGAGAGCCCAATGCAGGGCTCAAACTCAGAAACTGCGAGATCATAACCTGAGCTGAAGTTGGATGCTTAACCAACTGAGCCACCCAGGCGCCCCAACAGAGCACTTGTTTTTACATGGATTTTACAAGAGTACGACGAATGGTCTTTGAAAAAAAAATGATAATAATAGCAAATATGTTATAGCACTTTAGAGTTTATACAAGAGAAGTCAAATGTGAGAGATGGTGGCCAAGCCTGGCAAACTGGGGTGGCTTGCACACCTTGCATGATCGCAGGTGAGGCAGTATTTATTCCCACCAAGGGCTGGTTTTGCCTTCTTATTTTCTATTTATTCATATTGCCTATGAATAAAAAGGCTTTGCTGAAAATTAACAGTGAAATCAAAATTTTAAGGAAAATGTTCCCTTATTTAGAGAAATAGTTTATTTTCTAGCATGGCAGAGCCATCATTTGCACACAAACAACAGAGGATAAACTACTACTTGCACTGGTGATCAATATATTAACTGACAATCATTGTGGGGTGCCTGGGTGGCTCAGTTAGTTAAGCATCTGACTCCTTTTTAATTAGTTAATTAATTTTTTAATGTGTATTTGTTTTTGATGAAGTCGAGCAGACGTGGGGCAGAGAGAGGCAGGCACAGAGGATCTGAAGCTGGCTCTGCACTGACAGTAGAAAGCCCAATGCAGGGCTAGAACTCACGTACCATGAGATCACGAACTGAGCTGAAGTCTGATGTTTAACCAACCGAGCCACCCAGGTGCCTCACCACTGATTCTTGATTTTGGCTCAAGGAATGGTCTCACAGTTCGTGAGTTCGAGCCCCGCATCTGGCTCTGCATTGACAGTGTAGAGCCTTCTTGGGATTCTCTCTTTCCTTCTCTCTCTACCTCTCCTGTTCGCTTTCTCTCTCTCTCTCTCAAAATAAATAAATAAACATAAAAAAACTTTAAAAAAATCCTGTAGAGCATTGCCCTAGGTTTCTGCTGTGTTAACTATTTTAAGTTGTGGGAACAGCTAAATAAAAGAGATAGGGGGGAAGGAAAGAGCTATAAGGATGCTTTGAAGGTTAATCGGGTACTTGGTTGGTGACATGGGGTAAGGGATGGAGGAAAGAAGCAAAGGCAGCTCCAGCTCCCTGGCTGGTGTATTTGGGAATGGTTGTGGAGAAAGGACATCCCAGTGAAGGAGCAGGTGTGCGCCAGATGCCCCATCACAGACTCTCACAGCACCTTATGCTTTTCCTTCATAGCACGCACACTCCCAGCACCCCCGTAGCTTGGGCACACAGTGGGTGCTCAAGTAAGATTCCCTGAATGAATGAAAGAAAGACTGAGTGATGAATCATTCTACTCATTACTACTTGTGGCCTTAATCCAAACAATCTGTTAAATCAACCCCAGTTGCCACAGTGAGCTTGAGGTGGTGAAGACGGGTGGGTGGCTGCTGCAGAGAGTGGCTGCTTCTCCAGATCTGCCACCAATCAGCGATGACACAGAGGTAACCAGAGAAATTAGAAGTACGCCCACTTCAAAGATAGGCTCATAGTTCTTCCCCTCTGTTCTAATGGGGCACGTCTAAAGTGAACTGAGGTTGTGTGACATGTCTTTTAACCTATAATTAGGTGCACTGGAAGAGACTGGGGCCTCTGAGTCATCTTTATGCATTCATTCTGTACTGAGAAAGAACAGTTGCCAAATCCCAAAGCGTGCCTTGTAAACTTGAACAGAGTTCATTGTGATGGAGGTTTCCTCCTCGCTGGGGCTCTAACAACTAAGTGGGCATCTTATGCAACTGTGAACCCCCTATGATTTACAATTACCCTGATGTGGACCCATAGGTCACTACTATAGGCCAGAGGTGGCCCCCAAGTCTCCACCACTTCCCGTAATTGCCCCAAATAAACATGTAATCCAAGTGAAACCAGTGTGCATGCTACTCACACCAACTCAAGTGGGAAGGATATGAAATGAGTGCCCCGGCCCCACTACCGGCCACACCACCACTTCTGAGTTCCTCTTCCGTAGAAATCCTGGAGTCCCCACTGCTATATTTTATCCTTTGATAAGAATTCAAGTGTCTTATGATAAAAAGAAAAAAATCTTTTTACATTCAACAAGCTTTCCTCTTGCAAACATCAGCTGAGCCTCTGCTAAGATGTCTAGTTTCTGTCTCAAAATGATTTCTTAGATTATAATCCAGTTTAGTTGAGCTGATTCTGGGCCCATGAAATAGCAACCAAGATTTAGAAACAGACCTTAATGTCCTCTATCACTCATTCATTGGACTTCTGCTGGAGGATAAAGTATTAGTTGTGGTGAGAGTCTGTCCAGTGATATCCCAGGGCACCCCTCCCCATCCGTCCACAGGGCACAGAACCCATCCTTCTCCCCAAACTCTTCTCCTACCTACGAAGTTACTGGGGATGGCCTGGCCCACCTCTTCCACTTAGAGCGGTGACCATGCTGGGGTTGAGAGGTGAGGGATACTCAGACTCATAGACCTTTAACTCAGACATGCTCATGTTAGAACCCAGCCTGCTCTGGACTCGCCCTGTGCACATAGGAAGGGTCCAAGAAACAGAGGCTGAGTAGTAAAGTGGTCAGTCCTGGGTGGCCACCGACACCCACTGTCTGCAGCAAGCACTGGGTAAGTGCAAGCCTTGACCCTTGCAGTCACCATTAGCATTGTGGACTAGAGAGAAGGGGGAGGGCAGGGGAGCCCATTCTTATGTCCTGTTCTTTGTCCCTAACTACCCAGGCCATAACAGGGATGGCCATCGACAATCATTTGCTGGGGCTGCGGGAGCTGGCCCGGGACATGTGCAAGGAGTTGCCTGAGATGTTCACGGATGAAACATACCTGATGAGTAACCGGTTCATCCTCTCAACCAGCCAGGTACAGCCCTAGTGCAGCTGTCACCCGAGGGGCCATTTAGTGTAACCAGTGCGCTTTCTAAAAAGCCACTTAGTGTAACCAAGTGACTACAGCCCACTGGTTGGAGTCAGGCAAGTCCCAGATCTGCTTCTTACAAGCTGCATGACCTTTTGCAAAATGACTTAAATGCTCAGAGTGCTGGTTTCCCCACTGCCTAAATGGGTGTAATCATGGGCACCACCTTGGCAGAGGTGGATTGGATGGGTACTGGTGCCCTAATCATTACTGCTTATTACCTTTCAATCTGTTACTAGAGGGGTAGTGTTCCACCATGCTGGCCACAGGTTCTGAAGCCCAATAGGACTAGAGTGAAGTCCTGACTCAACAAGAGGTGACGATGTGGGTAGAAAGCCTAGCCCAGTGCCTGGCATGGACAGGATCCTCTAATCAGGTCACAGACATTATTATAAAGGTCTGTGTGGCCAACAGCAGGTGATTGGCTGTCATCCCAGCGTCTCCTCACTAGTGCTACATCCTCCCTCTGTGGGAGGACCACTGGTGGAAAGAATGAAATCCACTAGAGAAGGCAGCAGTTTAGGAAAGAAAATAAACCCCCAAAAGTCAGCTTACTAAAACTCTACCTCATCTGCCGAAGGCTGGACATGGGCAATAAAAGGGGCTGACAAAGTTGTGTTTGAGGATGAAAGCCCACTCAGTAATTTGATTTTGTCATTACGGCAGTGAGCTCGCAGACGTGAATAAACGAGGGCAGGACGCAACAACATAAATTCTTCAGGAAACCATCCGTGGGCAAAAAGTGCTTTGGAATGGTTTTACGGCCTTCAGCTGTTGCATGGCAAATTTATCTCACAATGAGGTGACTCTATTAGCAAGACTAATGGTTTGTTCTGCCCCATTAAAATGGCTGCTGTCATTTCTGAAGGCCCGGCTACAGAGCACCAGAAACCTTAGGTTTAAAACAAACCCCATCCTGCAAGTACTCAAGAATGTGTTTTATTTTCCCCGTCAGACCAGCTAATAAAATTAATTTGGGGTGTGGTGGTTTGGTGTTTTTTCCCTCCCAACTAGAAATGAACATTTATGGCTTGAAGGCCTTCAGAGACACATTTTCCTGATTTGTGATCCCGATTACAAAATCTCAGCACTCTGAATTCAAAATGTATTAGGTGCATAACTAAAACTCCAGTTGATGGCACTCTTTGAAATGCCCAATGCTGGGTAATTGTGCATGGCGGGGCTATGGGGAGAAAATCAGACCAGCCAGGCAATACTGACAGTAATTAAGGATGTGGGGAAAATCGACAAAGAAGACAGGCCAGATTTCCTTCTGTTCATAAATTACTCCCTCTGGGAAGCCATCTAACTGTTGGGTACCACCAGGGTCCCATTGAGTTAATTACCCTGATTGCCTCAGTGCCTCAAACAGCCTTCCCGGTGAAGGAGAGTCTCAGCCTGAGACCCAGCACAGGTCACTCTGGGAGATTTTGACTCTACAAGTACAGCACATTTCCTACCAGGGAGTGGCTTATGGACCCTCTTCTTCTGACATCGTGTGGTTAGATAGGTTTGTTTTTATGACTCTGCCTGTGGCCAACCATGCTGAAGCAATTGGTTCATTTGGTTAATTCAGTCAAACGCCCAGGTGGAAAAGAGAAGCAAATATCCCGTTGAGGCCTCTGGGTTGTTGAAACGCCCTGCATTCTAGCAAGTTCGCAGGTTACATTTCAGGACAAGCATCTTCTGACCTGTCCTCTCCTCTAGGTGCCCACAACCATGGAGATGTTTTGCTGCTATGGTCCCGTGGTGCCCGACGGGTACGGGGCCTGCTACAACCCCCAGCCAGAGAGCATCCTTTTCTGCATCTCCAGCTTCCATGGCTGCAAAGAGACATCTTCTACCAAGTTTGCAAAAGCGGTAGAAGAAAGCCTCGTTGAAATGCGGGACCTGTGTAGTCTGTCACAGTCTATGGTGGGCAAGCCATTGGCAACACAAGAAAAAGCAACAAGGCCCATTCAAGGGCACCAACCTTGACTCCTGCCACTAGATTTCACCTCCCCAAACCCAGCATTCTGCCGCTGCTAGACCCTGCCAAACCCCTGCTTCCCACCCTCTCCCCAGCTTTCAGTAGCTCCCATCCTCAGGGCCCAACACAGAGACCACACTGAGGCATCACACAAAGCAGGAGTGTTAGGAGGAAAGTGTCCCTCCTTACTCATGGGAATTGTCATCATTTACCAAGGTTACCTCTAGCCTGTGTACTGGGAAATAAGACTGGCCTGGCTCTGAGGCAGCCTTGGTGAGATGGGGAAGTCTACACTGCCTTCCCTGTGTGGTATCAGAAGCTTAATGTTGGTGTTTGCTACCCGAGCAGGACCTAGTATGTCCAGGTGAGATTTTTGCCCCAAAAAAGAATGAGTCAACCTATTACATGCAGTGTCCCTACATGAATCATGAAGAAAGAGGCTAACTCCAGGTCATTACCTCTTTTTGTGGGGGGAAGAGTAGGGGCCTTTGTTTTCAGATTCACAGCAGTCTGATCATGGCATTCAGGGTGGCCTGCACTGAGCCAGACAGTGCTGTAAACACCCCCTCCCCTACACACACACACACACACACACACTCACTCACATATACACACAGCCCAAGTTATTTTAAAATGTAGTGACCCAGGCCCAAAACCACATGTCTCCTGGTTTTCATCTAATCTCCTAGGGGCAGCCTTCCATTGAGTTTGGAAAATCTGGTCCTGCTATTTTGAAAGGGGAAAAAGAACCATCTGCCATTGCCCTAGAGTGGTATTGCTCTCTGCTTCCCTGGGGTGGGGGGGGGGGGCATTAAGGACACTCCAGCAGAGTAAGCAGCACAGTGCCCACCAAGCAGCAGGGATGGAAGGAGGACCAGTCTACGTCCCCAAGGATCCTGCCACTCACATTTTTTTTTCTCATTCCTTCCCCACTTCCCTTCACAGGAATCATGCCCTTATAGGTGATCTGCCTTCTACAGAGGAGAGGGTTACTTTGGGGGTTTTCTGCTCTTGTTCATTTGTTTTGTTTTATTCATCTTTAAAATTTTTTTTAATGTTTATTCATTTTTGAGAGAGAGAGAGAGGGAGAGAGAGAAAGAGAGAGAGATAGAGTGAGCAGGGGAGGGGCAGATAGAGAGGGAGACACAGAATCTGAAGCAGGCTCCATGCTCTGGGCTGTCAGCACAGAGCCCGACGTGGGGCTTGAACTCATGAGCCCCAAGATCATGACCTGAATCTAAATCAAATGCTTAACAGACTGAACCACTCAGGCACCCCTTGTTTTATTTATTTTTAAGAGAGGATTTTAAGAAAACTACCATATAATTAATTTCAGAAAATTATCTCAGTGACCCAAGCAGGACACCTGCAGACAGCTGGGCCCCTTTATGTGGAGGATGTTACCCAGGGATTCCAACTAAACCCCATGAGGAGGAGTGCAGAACAGGACTCTCCTTGCCCCCAGCAGGGGAGGGTGGGGTAAGGAGACAGCTAGTGGGGAGTGGGCCAGGAGGAGGGAATGGCTGTATCCAGAGACAACCCTGATGGAGGGGCAGAGAGTGCACAAAGCCAAAGTTAAGGTGGTCCCGAGAGATTGTGATCATCAAGAAGATATGAGAATCACTTCCTGTTGGGGACTATTTTTATAGTAAATCTAAAAGGCAAGGGACTAGAAAGGCCACACTGCAAACAGCTGAGGCAGCCTGTCTCTGTCCAGAGGAGGCACAGAGCTTGGCTCTCACCACTAACTTCTGCTGTGCGACCAGCGGGAGATTCCTGCAAATACCCCCTTGCCCCATTCCCACTGTGCTCTGAGGCATTCTGAGCTCTGCACTCTAGCCCAGGGACCCTGCACATGTCCCTTTGGACAACCATGCAAGCTTTCTGCACTTTGACCAGTACTGAAGTAGGCAGGGCTGAGATGGGGGACCTTTGTTCAGCTCTGAAAACACAAACCGCCCGGAACAGTAAATTCCTTGAGCCCTGGTTTTAGATTGAGGATTTCTATTGGATGATCTAGGAGATTCTGCACTGCCCTTCAAAGTCACTGGTCTCTAAGTGCATACTCCTACAGACCTCCACCTTCCTGCTCCCCTTGGGAAGTAGCATTCTAAGAGTCCTGAGAATGTCTGGGGAATTTCTGTCCACCTGATGTAAGTTGACCCAAAACCACTTGTCTGTTCTCACCAAATGACCACAGTACAGATCTGATTTCTCTTCTGATTTCCCTCCATGGATTTCTGGACATTTGATTTTGGGGTCTGGCAACCCCACTGACCTGACCAAGAGACCTAAATACCCAGAGACTCAATTCCCTCCATCATCAAATGGGGACAAGAATGTCCCAACTTTGCAATGCTTTGAGGATTGCAGATCATGTCTGTAAAGGGCCTTGCACAAGCAGTTGGGCTCTGGTGTCCACTGTCAGTATGATGTTACCCCATCAGGCATTGTTCAGGTGAAGTTATTTCAAACTTTTACACTGGTTTGAAAGAACCAAGCTCACGTCTGTCATTCCCTGAGCATAGGGAAAGGAAACTGACTCTGTATATTCAGATATCAACCATACACTGTGAGGGCTTTAAGAAGTGTAGGATTGTGGACATTTGGCAGGAGGGAATACCTCCTCTTTCTGAGGAAGAATCTGGAAGCTGGTCTTCCCCCTCCAAGAACAGGTGGATGCCCTGAGTCTTTATGCAAAGGCAATGCTGAGCCATGGCCATGGGCATCTCTGGGGGACCCTGGTAATGGAGACTGTTTCAAGTGTCCCCAGAGAGATGGAGAATGAAATCTGAAGACAGTCATTTCAGGGCAGTGATGCATAATAAAAATGCTTGTGGCCACCTTACAATACTGCTAAGTTGCCAAAATATATAAAGTTGACATTTGAGTTCTATTTTTATAAAATTGTTCTAGATTTATGGCAATATATACATGTGTATTTATAGTCTTTCAATTTTAAGTTATAGTTTTGTGCTTTAAAGAAATATATGTATGACTAAAGGACTGTATATTGAAAGTACTATATTCAAAATAAAGACTGTAACCCTGTATTCAATAAAAAGTAATGCCAAGAAAGATGGTGTTAGCCATTGTTTCTACCCAGAAATGCTATAAAAATGTTGTTGTAAATTCTGTGAGCTGGGTTAACAATTCATTTGGCATTGTCTGAGGTCCGTCAGCAGCAGCAGTGGATGTCTGAAAGGTACAGGGACCAGGAGAGAAAGGGAGGAAGGAACTTGAGTCTCTCCTACCATGTGGCATGGGGAAAGGGTGAGGGGCAGAGGGGCTTCACGGGCTGTGATCACGTTGGCAGAAACCTGGGTGTAGAGATCAGTGTCTCCACTTAAGCCTCTGCGTAGCAGAATGGAATGGAGGGGAAAATGCCAGACTCAGAGATGGGATGCCTAGACTGTAAATCCAATTCTATCTCTAACTTGCCATGGACTCTGGGGATGTTGCTTCACCTCTCTAGCCTTGTTTCTTCATCTGTGAAGTGCGGATGTTGACACCAGCACCACCCATTTCCAGGACTGTGGTGAGATGACACAGATGGTCCTTGTTTGAAAACTTAGATAGTGACGTAAAAATCGCTCACTGCAGGCTCACAGATACTTGCACACAGGTTCCTTCACCCTGCACAGCCTAAAGATACATTCCAAGTTGCAAGATCCCCTCTGCAGCCACAAAAATCCACAGAACCAGAACTGGGTTTCCACATGCTTTCCAATCAGAGCCTAAAAGGAACCTTAACATGTCTGAATTTGTATACTTGGGAAGCAGAAAAGGCATTATCCAAAAAGACAACGGCTAAGAATATTCCAGGAGGAATGGTGGGGTTAGGAGCGAACAGGGTCAGAGTAATGTCAGCTTGCTCTTATTTAGCACACAGATCACACTTGGCCCTAAAATAACAAGATGAAGAAAATAGAGAGAGAAGAATACAAACAGGCAAGCCAGCCCCCAACATACAAACTAATGCAACTCCCTCCTTGTTGTCTCTGGAGTCTCTGTGGGTTGGATGTTGGTACATTTAGTTAAAAAGGCAGAGAAGAGTCCCTCCCAGGTTCACAAGAAGAACCAGAATTTTCCAAATTAATCCCTGATAGTGGGGGGGCGGGAACTAGTGCCCTTTATTCCCTTTATAAATTCAGCTGATCTCCTTCCTTTTATAGTTCTCTGAGTTTTCCTTCCAAGGAGGCCTTTTGAGTCTGCAGGATAAACAATATGCCATCTCTGGGAAAGCTGGCCTCATATCAAATAAGAGAACCTTTCTAAAAACTGCTCTCCTTCTTCTAAGGGCCAGGTCTCTCCTTATTCTATTCCTTCTGTTTCTTCCATCTCCTTGGGGGTTTCACTTCCTATTTCTGTCCCTTACGTGATATTGGACCCCAGGGTTCTGTCCTTGATCGCTATTTCTTTTTTTTTAATGTTTATTCATTTTTGAGAGACAGAGCATGAATAGGGGAGGGACAGAGAGAGAGAGGGAGACACAGAATCTGAAGCAGGTTCCAGGCTCTGAGTCGTCAGCACAGAGCCTGATGTGGGGCTCAAACCCACAAACCGTGAGATCAAGACCTGAGCCAAAGTCAGATGCTAAACTGACTGAGGCACCCAGGTGCCCCTATCTCTATTTCTTATATTAAAGAGCAACAAAACGGGAGATTGAACTGATCCAGAAGGGCCCTTCTACCTATAAAAACATATGCACAGAGAAAATTCTTTGAAATATATAGTCAAATTCAAAAGAAAGAAAAGAAATCCTCACATTACAAGAAGGAGGAGGGGGAGGGGGAGGAGGAGGAGAAGGAGGAGGAGAAGGAGAAGCAGAAGCAGAAGGAGAAGGAGAAGGAGAAGGAGAAGGAGAAGGAGAAGGAGAAGGAGAAGGAGAAGGAGAAGGAGAAGGAGAAGGAGACGGAGACGGAGAAGGAGAAGAAGGCCTAAAACAGAACAGTGAGCAGGAGTTAAAGATGTGTCAGACCAGACACAAATTCCAGTGGCTAACAGCAGGGTTTACCACCGCTGCAAGTTGAGAGAACATGACCTCAGCTCATGCAAGATAGAAGATGCAGCTAAACTCCCTGCACAAAATCCGAACCTCATCGGAGTGTCCCAACTCTAACAACAACAACAATAAAAAGACTAGAAAAACTCTTCCCATCATCCTAGGGGAGCATTGAGGAACCATGCCATTCACTCAGGGCTATAGATGATGGAAAAAAGACATCCATGAGAAATTAAACTATAAATGTGTGTCATGTGTAGATGTGGAGCCTGAGTTTATACAACTTATTTGCAAAGCAAGAATTCTAAGCCAATAATTTTTTTTTTAATTTTCTGGGTCAGTAAGATCCAAAGGGGCTCAGCAGAGTCCAATACAAAACCACCTTCCACAAATGTGGAAACACCAAACACCCAGAGAGGGAAAACACTCTATTAAAGATGAGCTCACAGTCAAAAAATACAAACAGCACAAGAAATAGTTCACAAGAGGGAAAGCAGCAGATAAAGCAAACATCAGAGTGAATATCACAAAGACTGGAAAGAAAAGATGACTCAGACAGAAGCTGTAAAATAGATATGTTTAATATTATAAAGAAAGAAATAAAAATACAAGGAAGATACATGTAGAAGTTCAGGAAGAAGAGGTTAGAGACAATGGAGGAAAGCACTATTCAAAGAGAAAATAATTAGGAATATTCCAGAATCAAAGAATTACATTATTCTAAAATTCTTGGGTCAAAGAAAAAACAATAATGAAAATTTAGAAATACTTAGATCAGAATGATAATAAAGACACTTCATACCAAATCTCTGGGATACAGAAAAAGTGATACTTTGAGAAAAATTTATACCTTAAAATACATCAGAAAAGATGAAAGACTGAAAATTGATGAGCTAAGTATACACTTAAGTGTACTTTTTTCTTAAAAAGTAAGAAAAAGTGGGGCACCTGGGTGGCTCAGTTGGTTAAGCATCTGGCTCTCGGTTTTGGCTCAGGTTATGAACTTGTGGTTTGTGAGATCGAACCCCACGTCGAGCTCTATGCTGACAGTGTGGAACCTTCTGGAATTCTCTCTCTCTTTCTCTGCC